ACTGATAACTACAGCTCAGGTGAGGTAAAGGACTCTGAGTGTTTAGATAGTTAACTTAGTCTAAGTTCTCTGTGGGTCTCAAACGGTTTGGTCACCATTTATGTAAACACATATTTCCATTTGAAGGGGGAGTGATTAGTCAAATATGGATGAATAATTAAAAAAATGTTTTAACTAGGTGAAAAAAGGGTAAGATAAACTTGTTAGCTAAAACTAGTATTTGCTGCTGCCTCAAAGAGGAGCAGGGGGAGAGGAGGGAGACAGGAGAGGCTGATTCAGGAGCACAGACACACTCACAACTATAAATGTACCAAAAACAAATAAATAAACAAGTTTCAATGTTTTTTTCATATTGGATATGGTATGTTATTGGTTATGGCCATGTTCTTATGATGTTATGATTATTTAAATGCATACAGTTCTGTTGCATATGGGTGTAGTCTCTTTATTTCCCCCTCAAAGTGCACCAGATTGATGCATTTAAGTCCAACATTTAAAAAAAAAATCGGTAACACTTTATATTAAGGTACACAAATTAACCATCAACTAGTTGTTAATTAACATGCATACTAGCAGTATATTGGCTCTTTATTAGTAATTATAAAACACTTATTAATGCCTTATTCTACATGACCATATTCTACAGGTAATAAGCCATTAGTTGAGAGTTTTTCCTCAATTACCCTCTAATTAGTGCTTATTCATTGCAAGTAAGGAAGTTGTTGTACATGAGTTTGGGTCTTAATATGCTCTGTTCAATATGGGCCTAATAAGGCAGTAGTAGCACAAGAATAGTAATTCTCCCTTAATAACACTTAACAAATATGATCTATTCTCATGTAACAAGACATGAAACTACAAGTGTTAATTGTGTCTAAATAACTCAAAATTAGGTATTTATATCTAAGAACATGTTCCCTATTTTAAAGTAAAGTCTTGTTCATAACCAATAAGCTAGTAGTTTGACTCTAATTGACCAGAACAGGTTCCCTATTCTAAAGTTGCCTCCTCTTCACACTTTGTAAATACATTATAGCACACAACTACTGAAATTAATCTCAACAGCACATGAACAAAGTAGGCTCACGTTGAAATATCTGTTTTATTCAAATGTAACCACTTAAAAGAGGTTCAGACACATCACAAACATTTAATTAAAGTGTCTCCAAGGCTCACAACACACCTGTACTTTTTAATACAAATAGATAGGTAAATATAAAAGCTGAACTTGCTCTTGAGGGTACTACTAAACTCACTTTTAAATATACAACTCTTCCAGTACACCTTATCTAAACCGATAAAACCAGCCCTTTAATACTTCATCAGCAAGGGAAGAAGCTTGCCTTTGGCTTTCATGTCCTCTATTTTGGCCTTTTTATCGACTGTAACATTTGTTGCACACTTCTTGGCAAATGAAAGCAGGGTGTCTATTGCAGGATCAAACTTGAGGGTCTCAAATGTGTCTGGGTCCACAATCTTGAGCTCTGCAATTGGAGCAGTCATCTTTATGGTTCCCCGATCCACATTATTTCTCCTGAAGGCTTCAGACATTGTGCGAACATGTCCGAAGGTTTTCAGGACCTTTTTATACCTATGGACAACCTCCGCTGGCCCTTTGACTGGAAAAAAACAAACAAACAAATACACAAGGGATGAGTACACAGACTAATAATTCTGTCCAGCAGATGGCGCTAATAATGGCCGAAACAACTGACATTTCTCTTTAAAAATAACTATAAAGCATACTCTAGGGATGGCAACATCTGCTTATCTGATCTTTATCATTATTACTTTTCATGATATTTAGTTGTTCACCTCTCATATGAGCTCGCCCAGGCACAGCCACATCTGGAGATGCAGGATTCCGTGTGTTACGTTGCTTCTTTTTTGGGATGACAACATCACTGTCTGAGGAATCACTGAGGTCTGCAGGACTTTGGGAAGTGTCATCTTCGGACATGCTGACATCCTCTTCCAAAGTAGGGACTTTTGATTGAGCTTAAATTCAACGGATGACAGATGACACACTGATCAGCTTGTTATGAGGAGATACATAACATCACACCTTCTATAACAATTTAATACAAATGTGCAGTTTCTTCTCGAATCACTCACTTGATTTCTTCTTCAACCCCAAGACTTATTCGCGTAAGAAATTGCGCTCTCCTTCAAGATCTTTTATCATTTTATCTTGCCATTCGATCTTGGCCTCTAGGAATTCCAATCTTGAGATTGATCCTTAAAAAACAAAAGGACAGTTTGAGAGAAGATTACAATAAAGATTATGATACAGTATTGAGTAACAGGAAACGTATTGGAGAGACAGAGAGAGGGATGGCGAGAAACAAAGGTCATGGGCCAGATCGAACACAGATGATTGCGATTATGGTTTGTGCCTTAACTTGATGAACCTCAAGGATTTTAAAACCATAAAGTAGCAGCCGATAAAGTAAAAAATGTATACAATTATCCACTTCCCCTCTCCCACAAGAGACAACAGATAATATGTGGTTTCCCTAGTCAACATCAGCCATGTCAGTTACAGTGTACTGCTTATCATCACCACTGTGCGTCATATTAATGATCAGATATTAATTAAATTACAAGTATTTCTTTGCAGCTCCAAATCGCAACTTTTCCTATAGAGCAGGTCAAGACTGTACTCTTACTGTACAGTTTACAGAGACCCAACTTTTACCCACATGAGCATGCACAGTGGTAAGGAAAAACTACACTTTTTATGTATTAGTGATCACTATGTTGTGAATATGTAAATGTATCATTGAGTGGCCAAACATGAACATGGAGGCGATGTGTGCTTTTATTCTATAAAGCACAATATAACAGCAACATTTATTTTCATGTTGGGTTCTCTTTTAAGCTTACATTTGTCCTTGGAAGGCTACTGAAGTGAATTGTCTCTAACCTATACAGTCTCAGAATTTTGACGAGCTGTTTATTATTTACCATAACTTAAGGAGGTGCATGGGCTAAATCTGGCAACAATTTCCATCTCAGGATGAACGAGCCATATAGTTTAATGTTTATAAACTACCAACACAAAGAATCAATGCAAGAAAAAAAAATCACCTGATCCAAGGCTGGTACTGCAACTTGGGGCCAAGCTTTCTGTATCTTCAGGACCTATAGCATAAGAACAATAAACTCACAAAAATGAATAGGGGACATGAATGTTAAAATCAAGTTTGACAAGGAAATCATTTAAGTTGTACTTCTTAGTTAAGGGATATACAATTTACCATCTAGATCCTCTTTGATCAACTCCATCCTTGACTCCTCTTTTGGGACCTGATTCTTCTTCTTTGCCTTAGGCTGTAAAAAAAATAAGAATAAAGCTATTAAATATTGTGTAAAAGGCTGAATATGTACATTGGATAACAGTTACAGTGCACAAACATGAGTCTAAAAGGCAGCGAGCTGGCCAAATGAAAGCGACTGACCCGGGGGTTAAACCAAGTAAAAGATAACCACGAGCCTTCGCGCCAGTTGTTGGCTAGCTAGCAAGCGGGGCTAATGTTGGCTGTGGTGATTAACTACAATGTTTAATCGGCTTGCAAGATAGCTATAATTTACTTTTGAAAAGCAATGGGTCCCTATTAATTTATGGACTAACAATAATGAACATTATACGAATTATACAGCCAAGTAGTGGGTAGGTTACATGACGATATTGAGCTAACGCGGCCAACAACGTGAGTTGGTAATAATGACTTTATTAAGCACACAATTCAAAGAGGTCCAGAGTGCACATGAAAGAGAGCATTTTCAACAAATACAATACAATGAATACAAAAATAAGAAAGCAAGCACGTAACTTACCATTGTCGATGCACAACATTTCCAATGTCCCTCTTCAAGCTCCAAGGCAAGTGGAAAAGGCCAAAAGCTAGCAGGCAGTTTATTTTTGCTGATTGGAAAGGGAATTAATATGATAGTGAATGATTGGATGAATTTGCCGTTTGCAACCTGTCAGGTGACTCCCGTTCCCCTCTACGTTACTGCACTGTCAAACTTAAACTACGCCACAACTTATCCTAAAACACATGTTTACACAATATCAGAGTCAAACCGCTGCAACAAAATCCATACATTTAAACGTCTTGGCCAAACGAATGAATGTAGTTGAAAAACCAGGGGTGGGGGGAGCGGGGACAGAGAGCACGCTCATGCACTGTCAACGGGTGGGGGAGGGGGGGGGGACATGCTCGTGAACTGTTAATAAGGTCCCATAGGTCCGAAGTAAATGGGCGGGACTTCGCCTCCGGAGCTTCGCTGTTAGCGGAAGTAACCGGCGGATAGACAGATGAGAACATGGATTGGTGGATCACTTTGTCAATCATTATTCTCCCAAAGGGTAAGTCCCGCCTATTTAATTTCTTCTCCCTCGCTGTGGATTGTGGAGGTATGGCGCAATATTAATAGCTGAGAATGTAATATTATTTCAGATAATTTTACAAGTATGGTGTCACATTACACGTTTTTGAGGCGAATCCATTTTAGACAGAGCCCCAAGGAAAACCTTAAGTTCAACCACTGGTTAATGAAAAAAGGCCTTCTTCGAAAATCAATGAAATGCCCCTCTTGTGCTCATGTCATGAAGTTGAAACGGCCTTATGCTAAAAAGGAGGCATTATGGTAAGTAATGCTAGAACACTTGTGCTACAGCCTGTGCTTCATTTATTAATTTTGGGCATATCATATTGTTAGCTCTGTAGCTGTAAGTTCATCTGAATGTTGGATGCAGACTTGTCACCTTTCAGAAACATTTACCATTTTGAATCTACATTATGTGACCTATGTGATTCATGCATATCTGATGGAAAATGATTATATAATTCATATTATTAAACCTAATTGTTTTTATTAGGAGGAATTATCAGCTAAATCTCACCTAGAAAGTCATAATTCAAATCACACTGCTGATAATTTATATGTGCATGTGGGCTACTTTTTAAGGTGGTAACACTACTAAATGCACTCATATCTTCCTTATTCAGTTAATTATTGTAAATTAAATTCTTCTTGTCAAGTATACCTAGAAATGTTGAATAACACAAAGGACTTGCGCCATATTCAATCCATGTCTTAGATGTATCAACACCTTACAAATCTAGACTTAATTTATCAGAATTCTATTCAACCAATTTGTTTAATCATCAGGATGTGCCGGGATTCATGTCACAAAGGGAAAACATATTCAAGATCCATCCGAAGTGGCTCCATGTTTGAGAATTCCCATGTGCGACTGCAAACATGGATGCATTTCATCTACAGGTGAGTGGTTCTAAATCATTCATGAAATGTGTATATATGGAAATGTACTGTACACCCATGACCACTTCAAAATTGGTTTTAACCTCCCCTCCTAACTAACTGGATTGTTTACAGATTTGCCCAAGGCCTTCGATTGCAACAAGTGGACATGCTGCAGGAAGGAATTACTCGTAGCTCTGCAACTCTGACTAAGCTCGCAGACAAGCTGCGGAGAGTTTGTAAATCTGCCATGAGAAGAGTGAGAAGAAGAGGCCAGCAGACCATTGGAAGACGAAGTGAAGTTGTTATGATCGATGAAAGCAAATGTGGCCATAAAAGAAAGGTGTGTAAACTATGCAAACACTTTAAGATTGTTACCTTGATATCCAAACAATACATAATTAAAACAAGTTTATTTCCTATGATCTTGCATAAGCCTGTCCTTAACAGAGCTACTTAATGTAGAGACACTATACATACTTTTAATACACAGAAAGTTAACATTTATTTTCACCATTTCTGCTGTACAACACTGTCTATCATAGACTATTATTGCTAATTATACATAAAGTAGTAGAGTGTATTGTAAATTGTAAAGCATTTTAACAACTGTTCTCAACATGCTCGAACAGTTCACTGCTGTGTGATTAATAATTGAAAACAAATGCATACAGTATTCCATGTAGAAATATACAATGGTAAGGCTCTAAGGAAAATATTTTAAAACATTCTTCATTTAAAGAAACTGCAGACAGAGCCATTTTAATGTAGTCATTCCAAGTGTATGTAAACCTCTTTTACCCATCCCACTGTTTGTGGCTCAGGTGGTTGTGCATTATTCTCCACAGCTCTATGTGGCCATAGGTTGCATTAATATACCATTTTTTCTCCCATGGAACAAAGAGAAGGATCATTTTTGTGTGTCAAAACTAAATACTGTAGTGGCCTTTTGTAAAATTGTGTCAGTATCCTTATCTATGAGAAATGACTGTTGCGTTTTGGAATAAGATATGCAGTTCAATTATGCCATAAAGGGAAATGTCACGTTATTCCTGCACCTCAGGACAGTTGAATATTTGTAAATATGCACTGCTCCATAATACTCTTGTCATTTTCAGTACAACAGAGGACGGGCGAGCAACAGGAGTTCCTGGGTGTTCAGAATGCTTGGAATCAGAAATGACAGGAGAAGACCCATTCTCAAGATCGTGCGTCGCCGCTCAGCCAGACATCTTATGCCTCTCATAAAGAAGCACATTAAGACCGGAAGCTCAGTCATTTCAGATGGATGGAGGTCTTACAGCCGGCTTCAGGACGAAGGTTATAATCACCTGACTGTCAACCATCAAGAATCTTTTGTTGACCCTGTTACAGGTGCACATACACAGAACGTAGAGAGATTTTGGGGTATTTGCAAGACAACTATCTGGAGACTTAGAGGAAATCGGACACAAAGTTCGTTAAAAGATCATTTGGATGTCATTGAGTGGACTTACTGGCGTGGAAAACATCACAGATATGGACCACTTGGAATGCTTTTGCATGACATTAGAAAAAAATATAAAGTGTGAAGCCTGTGAAAGGTAGCATATGTTGCAGATAGCACATTTACACTGTCAGTGAAAAGCGATTGAACGATTAAAGACACTTTAAATGTTTGTGATGTGTCTGAACCTCTTTTAAGTGGTTACATTTGAATAAAACAGATATTTCAACGTGAGCCTACTTTGTTCATGTGCTGTTGAGATTAATTTCAGTAGTTGTGTGCTATAATGTATTTACAAAGTGTGAAGAGGAGGCAACTTTAGAATAGGGAACCTGTTCTGGTCAATTAGAGTCAAACTACTAGCTTATTGGTTATGAACAAGACTTCACTTTAGAATAGGGAACATGTTCTTAGATATAAATACCTAATTTTGAGTTATTTAGACACAATTAACACTTGTAGTTTCATGTCTTGTTACATGAGAATAGATCATATTTGTTAAGTGTTATTAAGGGAGAATTACTATTCTTGTGCCACTACTGCCTTATTAGGCCCATATTGAACAGAGCATATTAAGACCCAAACTCATGTACAACAACTTCCTTACTTGTAATGAATAAGCACTAATTAGAGGGTTATTGAGGAAAAACTCTCAACTAATGGCTTATTACCTGTAGAATATGGTCATGTAGAATAAGGCATTAATAAGTGTTTTATAATGACTAATAAAGAGCCAATATACTGCTAATATGCATGTTAATTAGCAACTAGTTGATGGTTAATTTGTGTACCTTAATATAAAGTGTTACCAAAAAATCTTACCTGGGGAGCATGTCCCCGGACCCCCCTATAAGATTTGAGGTCCACCTGCACTTAAAATATGTTCACATAGGTTCCTAAATAGATTTGCACATTATTTTAAACAGTAACCCATGTCCATATGTTTATTCTGGGGTAGTAGATTTAAAGTTTAGGGCTATCACTACGTGCAGCAACGCTGTAAATATTGACAAATAAATCCAGAAAAATGGCACAAAAGAAAACTGGTAGTGGCCTGGCTGGGTGTATAATTCCCGGCCTGACTTATTTTCCCAGTCCGGCCCTGATTGTAGGTCAGGAGTGAATGAATGGGAATATGAATTAAGCCCTGCCTCATGTTTTGAGCTACCACGCCTTATTTAAAGCAGTCGTTATTACATTACATTACATTGCATTTAGCTGACGCTTTTATCCAAATCGACTTACAATAAGTGCGTTCAGAATAAGGTATGATAGCTACCTTCTCATTTATTCATCGATTGTTTTGATGAAATGTCATATTTCTGGTTGGTTCACTATTGAAAAGAGAAAGATACTAGTTTAGAAACACTTTAACATTTCCCGAAACTTTAACAATCTAGACTAGAATCAAACTGGAAAGGGTGTCCATCATTTATTTTAATCGTTTATTTAGCAGGGACAATGCACATTAATGAACACGTAAAACAATAAAATATGCCAGATTTAGCTTTGAGCTAATTTCCACCTCATGTCCCTCACATAAAACATTTAAGAAAATGACATTTTACAAATATAGCAAAAACAAATACATGATATGCAAAAAGTGCAAAAGAGCAAGAGCAGCATACACAAGTATTTACCACATGGCAGTACAATATAACAGCAACGACATATCATGTGCAAGAGAAGATAAAAGAGCTACCTAAAGTGCGAGAGGAGATACCCCTGTGCTAAAGTGCATTTAGCGGTGATTGCACATCTGTTTGTTTCTCAACCATTCTTTGAGTTGTCCTTTAAAGCTATTGAGAGTGGGACAATCCCGTATCTCAGTTGGGAGGCTATTCCAGAAAGAGCTGCTTTTAATGGAGAGGACATTTTGTCCAAAAGTGGTCCGTCTGCGGTGGACTTCACAGTGTCCTCTGGTTTCTGACCTAGTGCAGCGTCCAGTGTGTTTTTTGTGGATGAATTCCCCTAAGGGGGGGGGGGGCCAGTCCATGTAAATATTTATAAAATAAACACATACTTTTAAAAGACTTGAAATTGTCAAAACTGAAGAAATGGTGTGTTTCAAGGATGGTACAGTGGTGGTATGAATGAACACCTTGATAGCTCTCTTGTACAGTTGTTCTATAGGTTTCAGGTTTGTGGCACAAGCAAACGACCAGTTTGTAAAACAGTATTCAATGTGGGATAGAATCATACAGTGGAGGTAAGACTTTGCAGCATTGACAGTTAAGAAAGGTCTAATTTGTTTAAAATTTTGCAAGTTGAATTTAATAGTATTAGATACTTTCTAAATATGTTTCTTAAAAGTCAAGTTTGAGTCCAATATGACTCCAAGATACTTGAACTGGGAGACTAGTTGTATTTCTGCTCCGTTTAAAAACACATTGGATCCTTCGATTTTGACTGGTCGTTTACTGAACATCATGCATAGTGGGTTTTTTGCATTTAACTGTAAGTAAATGTTGTTCAGCCAGTGTTGAACCTTGTCCAAATTATTTGAGAGACATTATGTGATTATTTCAGTCTTTTTCCCGTGTACAAAGATGACCGCATCATCGGCATACATTTGCACACATTTGCACATTCAACTCAGGACATACATTAGGCGAGTCATTAATGTACAGAGAAAACAGTAACGGTCCAAGAAGGTAGGGGGATTTGGCACCGTTGACCAAAACACACTGTTTTCTGTTCGATAAGTAAGACTTAAACCAATGTATTGAAACTGCCGAAAACTTGAAATGAGTCAGCTTTGTAAGGAGCACTTGGTGGTCAACAGTGTCAAATGCCTTCCTGAGATCAAGGAAGACAGCACCTACATATGGGCTCGTGTCCAACATAGATTTAACCTTTTCCACAAAGACACAGTTAGCTGTCTCAGTGGAGTGGTGAGCACTGAAACCAAATTGGGTGGAGTGGAGCGAAACCTTTGTCTAAATGTTTGGTGATTAGTTTTGACACCCATTTCTCAGCTACCTTAGAGACACAGGGGAGGATGCTGATTGGTCTGTAATTGGACATCATTGCCTTATCCCCAGATTTAAAGATTGGTGTCACCGTGGCCACCTTCCAGGATGATGGGACTTCCCTCGTGCTGATAGATTGATTCACTAGCATAGTAATTGGTTTTATTAGACCGTCGATATGTGTCTTTATGAAGTTGGTGTCAAAATCATCTGCATCCCATATAAAATGTTAAAGGTGTTCAGTTTTGGGGAAATATTTTCCAAGGCCCATAACTTTGACCCAGTTTATCAGTTCATTCTGTCCTGACTGAGCACACCCACCTGTAACCTTGGCTGCTGTGCTCTCAGTGTTTTGTCTCCCTGTTCCTGCCTGTTGGCGTCAGCTGATAGAGGTGTTATGATTCTATCTTGTTATGCACAATGTTGATTATTCTTTCTGAACTAGCTAAATACATGGGTCTGGGGTAGAGTTCTTCAGAATTGACGTGGCAACTCTCCCGTGCAGTCAGAACCTCTGGCAGCTGTGACTTGTGATGTGAATTACATTACATTATTACATTGCATTTAGCTGACGCTTTTATCCAAAGCGACTTACAGTAAGTACATTCGACCAGGAAGATACAACCTTGAAGAAAACAGAGTCATATAAGTACATCAGGTTTCATAGAGCCAAACATTTCAAGTGCTACTCAACTGGCTATAGATAAGCCAGTCCTTTGTTAGTATATAAGTGCTTTGTTAGCAATTCTTTGTTAGTAATTCTATCGCTCGAAGTGGAGTCGAAAGAGATGAGTTTTCAGTCTGCGCCGGAAGGTGTGTAAGCTATCTGCTGTCCTGATATCAATGGGGAGCTCATTCCACCATTGTGGAGCCAGGACAGCAAACCCACGTGTTTTTGCTGATGGGAACTTGGGTCCCCCTCGCAGCGAGGGTGCAGCGAGCCGTTTGGTTGACGCAGAGCAAAGTGCACGTGCTGGGGTGTACGGTTTAACCATGTCCTGGATGTAGGAAGGGCCAGATCCATTCGCAGCATGGTAAGCAAGTACCAGTGTCTTGAAGTGGATTCTAGCAGTTACCGGAAGCCAGTGGAGGGAGCGGAGGAGCGGCGTGGTGTGGGAAAATGTTGGAAGGTTGAAGACCAGACGAGCCGCTGCATTCTGGATGAGCTGCAGAGGTCGGATGGCACATGCAGGTAGACCAGCCAGGAGGGGAGTTGCAGTAGTCTAGGCGTGAGATGACGAGAGCCTGGACCAGAACCTGAGTCGCTTTCTGGGTCAGCTGGGGACGTATCCTCCTGATGTTGTAAAGCGTGTATCTGCAGCAGCGGGTTGTAGCAGCGATGTTTGCAGTGAAGGACAGTTTGTTATCTAGGATCACACCCAGATTCCTTGCAGTCTGAGTCGGGGAAACAACAGAGGTGCCGATGTTGATTGTTAGGTCAAGAGTGGGACAATCTTTTCCCGGAAGGAAAAGCAGTTCAGTCTTGTCAAGGTTGAGTTTGAGGTGATGAATCCTCCGGCCGATACTCCTCAATAAACCATCAGTGTTTGACATCAAAGCTCCAACTCTCCTCGTGTCTCTCTGAGTCCTGACTCTCCATTGCCACAGAAGTTTCCCCCACATTCAGTATATCTGAATTTTAGAGTGGATGAGGAGTGCTATTTTAAGGTGAAGTTTTAAAAGTGCTTCCAAATTGCAAAACATTTCAAAATAGTTTTAGGAATATAGATGTATTACATTATTTCGAAAAATCCACAAATCAATAATTTAACAAGCTTCTTATTTACAACATTGGCTTCATTTCATTTCATTGTTTATTTGGCAGGGACAATGCACAGTGATGAACACTTAAAACATTTCAAATGTGTCAAGCGTAACAGTGCCAGATGTAGCTTTGAGCTCATTTCCATCTGCAGTCCCTCACATAAAACATTTAAGAAAATTACATTTTACAAACATAGCAAAAATTAAATAAATGATGTGCAAAAAGTGCAAAAGAGCAAGAGCAGCACAAGTATTAACCACATGGCAGTACAATATAGCAGCAACGACATGTAAAGTGCAAGATAAGATACAAGAGCTACCTAAAGTGCAAGAGGAGTTACCCCTGTATTAAAGTACATTTAGCTTAACTACCCAGCAGGATATTATGAGGATAAAGCCAGAGTTTTCTGTGTTATGAAAGGGGATCTCTTAACCTGGCTGGATTTCTATTGCATTTTATGCTGCAGACCTAACCTAAGTTTTAATACAGTACTATTACTTGTAATTGACTATTTTTAGACTGTAATATTTCTTGTGTTGTTGGGCCCAAGTTATATCACCAGGGCCGCCCCTGGGCAACTTGTGGCCCCACGCAAAGTCATGTGAGGAGGCTCTATGTGTCGTGAACGTCGACGGGGGGAGGGGGGGTGGTTGCTAGTGGAGCCTGGCAGCGGTGAAACTGCGGCGCACTTAATTGCGCCACAGTTGCGCTTCAAATGAGGCCCCCTCCGCGAGGTGTAGCTCCCTCCGCGAGGTGAGACCCCCTCCGCAAGGTGAGGCCCCCTCCTAGAGGTGAGGCCCCGCACAGTCTGCGTGATCTGAGTGTAGGAAGGGGCGGCCCTGGATGTCACCGACTGACCTGGGGGCTTGCCACGGGATTCTGGGAGGGACAGGAATTGAGAAAGTAAGAGGAAGTGAGAGAGAGAAACAAATTAGCAAATGAGGTCACTCAAAACAAGAGAAACATGATAATGACACTAAATGCACAAATGTAATCTTTGCCCAGAAGCAGAAAAAAAGATACTTGCCTTGTATTGCAGCTGTTGCTTTGAGATATTCCATAGATTTGGCCTTGTGTTCCATCACCTGTGTATGATGTTCTTCTTTCAGCGCTCTCACTGTAGGGCTCTTCCAATCTTTTTCCCAGTCTTTCACGGTCTACACGCAAAAGACAATATCAATAAACAGTTGTCAGTGCCTGCAGGTGATCAACTATCAGGTTCAGAAAACACAAAGCTGTTTGTTCCCAGCAATTTTACTATAACTTCTCACCATGTCTTTGAAGGCCTCCCCTTCGTAGTATGTCTTGGATGCTGGATACTCTATTCCCTCTTCATCTAGCTGCTCCATGCTTGAAGCCACCAAATGTAGCTCCTCTCCATCGTAGGCATACAGCTTTCCGTCCTCACAGGTCATTAGAACGAGCTGGTCCCATGGGCAGGAGATCCCCTCCACTACACCTACAACCTGCATTCTTACTTTCTCAGGAAGATAGAATGTTCCCCACCCATTCACTACCTTATGCTTCTCACTGTAAATGGTGTCTTCCAGGGGTCCTATCTTCCATCTGGCACCAGCTGGTTTCTTTAATTCAAATGTCTCGTGTTTATACTCTTTGGTAACTAAATCTGAAGCCCATTTCACGTAATCTGAACCTGCAACACATGCCGAACAAAATACATTTGAAAAAAGTTACATCAAGGTTTTTATGATATGAGGCAAAAGGAGTGTAGTCTAATCAACTACACAACCATTTCTCTTTAGTTCTATCTTAGGTTACCTGTTTTTCCGTTAGTCTGTGGGAATGGCAGACCTGCTGGGCTGAATGGAAGAAAAGACAAAAAAAGAATCCCAATTAGTGGCTGCAAGTTAATCAGTGAGCTCCAGTCCATTTCTCCCACATTTCTTTATACGCTTGTGATCCTAAGACGCTCTTGATTCAGCTACAGCTTCGGTACATGTTCAACAGCCATGAGGCTCAATGCCTGTGTGTCCTGAATTCTATTTTTCAGTACCGATGTACACGAACCATCAGCCATCTTGAGACCTTGTCCGTCTCTTTTTTTCACCGTGACTTTGAGTTGGTTAAAGTCATGGCTCATATCCCTCCACACATTTCGGATTCATTCTCCCAGAGACACACAGCCAATGTTTGCTCCGCCTTTGTGTCTGTGGCTCAGTGGTCTTTTATCAATCAAAGGGTTGGTGGTTTGATCTCCGCCCCTTCAGGTCAACAGGTTTGATTTTTTTCCTCAGGCAAGACACTGAACCCCAAAATGCTCCTGGTGGCCTGTTAATGGTGACTGTGTTTGAATGGGCGAGTGCTGACGTGTGTTTAAAACGCACTTTGAGTGGTCGCAAAGACTAGAAAATATAAAATCAGTCCACGTGTTACCTGCTCTGTGTAGTCTTCCATCTTTCCAGATCTTCATGACACAGGGGAGGTTTTGTGGTCCAGGTGATTGGCGACATCTGGAAATGGACTTTCTTTGAACGACATTCTTTACTCAAAACTCTTTTAGACGCTGTCACAATATTCTTGTTTCGATTTGATACGAAGGAACCGCAGATATACTACGTAATCTATAAGGATGAGCCATCCACCCAAAAGGGGAAACTCATTTTGGCCACTTGATTTCTCTGTTATCAAAATTAGAAAATGACGAACATGACAAGCCACTTAGTCATCATGGTGTGAATCAACTACCTGCAGTCCTTCTAGTTTGACTACTTTTATAATCCATGATACGCCTGAATGTGGCTGCTACCAAAACCACACAAGCAGAATTTATGAGATGCTGTGATTCCTAAAAATAAATCTGATTGACCATTCCATACTATTGACAATGTACAATTAATGACATCATTATAAAAAGTAAACAAGCAAGTTGTTCTTAATTCAAAAATATTAAAAAAAATCCAATAATGAAGTTACTTTTTTTTTTTAAAAAGGATTCATAACACAGCTGTTTATCCTCCAAATGACTCAGCCAATGTTGATCCTGTTGCGCTTCCTGTTATCCACAGTTCCCATCTTTATCCTGCTTCTTCTTGTCTCTCGTCAGTGTTCAATCCAGTGCATCTTGTCTCTCCTCTTGAAGGAGTTCATGACGCAGTTAGTTTTGTGGTTCAGGTCTTATATGTGCACAGCAACATTGCAAATCTTCTTTGAACCACATTCTTCACTCCAAACTCTCAAAGACACTTGAGGGTCTCGTAATGAAAAGGTGTAGAAGTCTTTTTAAATTAAGGTTGTAAATAGGTTCTGGCATTTTCTTTTATAGACACATTTTGTTTTTAATTGTGAAGTTGGAAGCATGTTGAAGGTGCTTTACACTTGACGTAGTTAATATTCAACATAGTTACAAGATTGACTGAAACAAGAGAACAGGAAAGACTGCGTACCACAGTAAGGTGTTGTCTGCCATTGTTGTTTTAACCCCCCCCCTTAACAGAAAATAAAACTTCTTACTTGCTCTCCGGACTGCACTCCAATCTAGCTTTCTGTTACAAGGAACAAAAATATGCATTGTTAACAGTAATAAATAAAATAGAATAAAAAGACCTCTACTCATTATAACAATATGACAGAATTTGGACCTTTTTGAAAACACTATGAAATACACTATCAACTAAGAGAATTAAAAAAAATTAAAAAGCCAAATAATATAATAATAGCAATATTTAAACTTGCTCATATTATAAAGGTTAAATAGCATTACAAAATATTGGCTACTGAGCTAATGGTAGAATACATAGCTTATCTAATATTGCATGTAAATGTTGCAATACAAATGTGCAATTTTACCATTTTAAGAGTAAGGTTAATTTTACAACATTTAAATAATGAATAAATGCTCTCTTTATTCCATCAAGTAGTGGTACTTACTATACAGACAACTGGACTAACTTCCCTCTTGCCACAAACTGCCATCGTGCCAAAAACAGCCACAAATCTGTGTACAGAAACGTAGTTACATTCAAATGTGGAAGAAACAATTATTTGAAAATACACACACAACACATCAAATCTGAGTTGTGAGATGAAGATTAAACAAAAAACTATTTTTAAATAAACAAGAAAGAGCACTTTTTTATGAAATAAGGACAATAGAAATTTCACCAATTATTTTAATGAAAATATTTTTTGCATAATTTCAATGCTAAAATGTGTGTTTAAATGTACCTTTGAAGATATTGTTTCATAAAAACAAAAGTTGATCCCTCATATTTTGTATTGAATGTATTGAACAACAATTTCACAGATATTGGAAAGTATCCCAAAATGTTTGAGTAACACAGACAGACGGACAGACAGATGTTTCAATAAATAAAACACACATAAGTCGAATCGTTTGGATTTTTACGAGAAATACTCGGTATGTATTGGTCCATATACGCATTATATACACCAGCAATCAGCAGGAAAACCTTCGCCTTTCCTTTAAAGACAGACCCAGACTACACCCTTTTCTCTTTATTCACAGATCCTTTTTTTATTTGTGAAAATATTTTTGCGTATTTGCAGATCCGTTTTACAGTTGCACATTCTTTTGTGAGTTTTCAAGTCTTTTGTACGGAAGAGGATTAGGGCCACATAAAAAACATTTTTGTGAGGATTTGAAAAAAATATTATTATTTTTTGTTCTGAGAAAAAAGTCAGAATTCTGACTTTAATCTCAGAATTCTGACTTTTTTCTCGGAAAAAAAAAAATATTTTTTTTTTGGGAGAAAAAAAGTCAGAATTCTGACTTTAATCTCAGAATTCTGACTTTTTTTCTCCCAAAAAAAAAAAAGTTTTTTTGTTCTGAGAAAAAAGTCAGAATTCTGAGATTAAAGTCAGAATTCTGACTTTTTTCTCAGAACAAAAAAAAAAATTTTTTTTTTCAAATCCTCACAAATTTTTTTTTTATGTGGCCCTAATCCTCTTCCGTACGTACATATTTGACCTGAGAACAGTGAGAAGCAATTTTTTTCACATGGATTTTAGTATACCATTAGGCGCATTCACACCGCAGTACTTTTCCCACAAAGGTTCATGAGAATTTAGTTCATGAGAACTCTTTGAACCTGGGGGTGGATTAGGCAAATGAAGCCGCTGACGTCACTTCTTCTTCTTCTGCTTTGGGTTTACTGGCAGGCCGCAAACCACTTCACGGCGTATACTGCCGCCCAAAGTCCCCGGCCGGAAGTCCCCGGAGTTGGGGACTGGCTTTGGGACTGGAAGCCTTCCGAGTAAATTGCCAGAACGCCGACACCTCCTCATCTCCACCGCTCCCATGTTTTATTTTGTGTTGCCATAAGTTAGTCTCTCTGCGTTTCTGCGCTGGGCTAATGCTAATAATGCTAATGCGAGGATAATAAAATGGCGGCTTCACAAAACTTTTTGGGAGTTTTACGGGGCGTGGTTTGCAATCCGCCCAGCCAATCAGACATATAGCTCTTTTCTCACAAGAGAGCCGTACGAAAGTCCCTGTTCTCTAGCAGCTCTCTGCTCTCTAGCAGGGACTTTCGTGGGGGTAAAAAGGTTCTCATGAACTAATTTTAGTACCTGCTCTTTTTGGTGTGAACGCGATAAAAGAGGCTAACGTCCACGCTAGCTTCCACGCTAGCTGCTATATGTTTTTGCATTGAGGTGATACTTGAGGCTTGATGTGCTGCGGTGATATGCGAATTCCTTTTTGCATAATTTGCACACAACCGTGCTCTTATCGACGCTTCCATCCGTCCGTTTTTTAAAACAACATTTCCCACTGTTGTTCACTGTGGTTTGTTGTTGTCTGAAGTCATGAACGTTAGTTGGTGCTCCAGTATAATCGGTACGCCTGAAACTCATCCAGTGAGAAACGTTCCGCGGTGCAAAAATAAGTGCGATTAAAATGCGTTAATTTTTTTAACGCGTTAATTTTTGTGTAATTAATTAATCTCAATTAACGCGTTAAAGTCCCGGCCCTAAAAATAACACAGTAACTCTTGATGAACATATTCTACGTTAATGTTGGCCTACCCGTTTTACAAAGACAACTCAAACTGAAGTAAGTAAACAGAAAGTGTGAGATAAATAATACAAACGAAAATAATAGTTACCCAAATAGTAGATTGAAGTTGTTGAGGTTTAGGATGGCAGATTCTTCATACGCTGCACTCGGAGAGGAATAGTGGAGACGTAGACGATGAACTGTTGAACCTTGAGCATGATTTATTCCTCTGCTTCACAGGTGATTCCTTCACTCAGCCGAGCTAACTTGAGTACAGAATAGACACAAATCTCTCTATACATACAATAACTGAGGACATATGTAAACATTTCCCTTAACAGAAGTCCTTTGTGTCTTAGAAATATATTCAGAATTGTCGCATTCACATTTATAGCGACTTTAAACCTTTAAACACTCCCTGTTCCTGGTTTGAATAGGTTGCCACACCTTTGCCGACACAGTGTTTTGGCTAGACATGTGCAACGCCTGTCAGGTGATGAGAACAACCAATCACAATCCCTCCTGTCTTCCCTAATAACCTGTCTTCGGTATAATAAGAGTGTATTTATTTTACTGCAGGGTCAACGTTAGCCAGACATCAAGAACTTTACAGTGTTTCGACTTTATAGGACATTTTATGAGCTATGATCTGTCATACGATCGAAATATCTCCTCAATCCGTGAATCTACGGACCATTTGTTTTTCTTTATTAAAGAAGTAGCCTAAATGGAAGAGCGTCTGAGAGGAACGGTGATAATATTATAAACAAGGTGAATTTAGCCAATGCTATATGCTGCAGGTCTCCCTTGAAAAAGAGATCTATGATCTCAATGGGACCAATCTGATTAAATAAAGGTTTGAAATGAAATGAAGCGATCACAACGAAAACGGCCAAGACACACATTGAGCCCAGAAACGAATGTTATTAAGGGCTGTAAATATAATGAGCCTATGTCTAAAATAGACAACATTGTTAGGATATTTAAACTATACAGCGATTCTGGACTGCGGTCAACTCAGCCGCATCTCGCGTTTGTTTTTTCAAATCAGCCTACCTATATTTGATGAGTGATACAAATATTTGTTACCACAAGTTCTTAATAAAACTGTCTCTGTTGGACTCGGTACTAGTTTGACTGCTACCAAAAAATAAAATGAAGTACTTTTACGGTGTAGCCTACTTTGTGAGTAATCCTCTGTCAAAGTCCCCTCCATACATAATGCATGTTTTTCTGCTATCTTTGATTAATGATAAAAAATACAATTTTACCATTAGTTCTTAATAAAATTGATACTGTTTGACTTTGTATTAGTTAACCTATACAAACAATACATTGAAGTACTTTTACTGTGTATTTGTTGAGAAAGTCCTCTGCTGAGAACAAAATCAAGCTACTTCTGCTCAGTTTGATGAGGGAATTATTTTTTGTTTCCAATAGTTCTTCGTGAGATTGATCCTGTTGGACTCAGTACTACTGAAACTACCCCCACAAGTACTGTGAAGTACTTTTACTGTGTACTTTTCCAGTAATCCTCTGTCAATGTCCCCTCCTGAGTACAAGAATGCATGTATTTTGTTTTGTTTGCCCAGTATTACATTAATGCTCTGGGGGAAATGTTTTAATTTGAAGCTATAAAGGTGTATTCCCCTATAGCGCTCAATAAGCCCGTCTGATGACAGGTGGTTGTGAATACCTGCTGCACTTTTCCTATTCTTCCCTTTAAAATATGGGAAATGATTCTGCGGACCACAGCACGCCTTCTGTCGTTGTTTGCTGTGAAAGAAACAGTCTGGCCTGTCAGAGGTAGGTGGTAAAAGACTTTGACACAAACATTAATAAACAACATTTTTTATTTAAGATGCCTATGCTATTTGGGGTTTTCACTTTCCTGTAGAGTGTTATATAGGTGTTTGTGTGCATGTAAATGGTCTGCAAAGGCTAAAAACACCTCGGTTGGACTCCTTTGTTAACTACCATAACATAATGACATCACTTTGTAACACTCGCGCTTCTATTGGCTTGCGCTCCAACACTTTAGATTTGATAGACTAAGGGGCATCAGAGCCGAACAGCTAACCAATCAGAGCAGACTGGGCTCTGGTTTCAGACAGAGGGTGGAAATAGGTGCTGCAGCACAGGCAGTATGAGAACAATAAAGAGCTTTTTGAACATTAAAGCATGGAGACATGTCACAGTAGAGACACAACATACAAATATGAAGTTATTAGAATAGGACCCTTTAAAGACTGGTAGCTGATTGGAACTGAACATGGTGGTGCTGCCATCTAGTGATGCTTCTTTGCCACTGAAACAAATACTTTCAGAGAAAAAGTAAATCTGAGTTTGAATGTAAATCATTGGGTTAAGTTTAACATAAAGCAGATGTGTACGTTTTTTGATACGTTTATAGAAAACTTGACATTGTTGTTGCTGTCTCTAGATGGTTTTGTTTTTGTATATGCAGCTTAAGATACTGGTTTGATTCACACGATACTCTAATAGTCCTTTAATGACTTTTTCAGTTGCAGGATATATGTGAAGTCAGCAAACACTTGAAAGGGCTTGTTGCCTGATCGGTCTGATGAAAGCCGATTTGATCCAGATTCTGTATGTTCTGTGTTTCTGAATTTCATCTCTGCTCGTGCACTCTTTTTGAATCATACTCACATCTCAGTGCACTCAGCAGGGTGGGATTTTCACGGCGGCCATGACGGCCATGGCCGTCGTAGCCCCTCGGTCTGGCCGTTATGCCCCACAAATAATTGTTCGTCCTACGGCCACCATGGCCTTTGGGCCCCTCACACTGTTAAAAGTTGCTTTAAAAGCGTCAGAACAGTGGTTTCTGAACTGCATTATGCTGCGTTCACAACGGACGCGATGCGAATATTCTCATCCCTCTAACCGCTGGAGTTTCACCGCGGCTGTCAGCTGTGTTTACTCCTGTCATTCAAACAGGACGCGCTGGAGATGGGGCGGGGCTTATATCCATGTAAATACTGTGCCAACTACGACCAAATTAACCTATGTTACCGTGATTTAATTGTAATACACGTTTCAAAATGATGCCGATTCCAAAAGTTAAACTACTTTTTACCATGGATGTCTAATAAGATATTTATAACTAAAGATACCTTCGTAAGTGGCGTCTATGCTAAATATGTAAATATTATTTTTCCTCGGAAGAAGTGCTCTCGGGCAGTATTACTCTCTACATACATGAACTTTTGCCGAAGTAACTAAATACTGATAACGGTTAGTAAAAACCATGCTTTAATGCTTTGACAAGTGTGCAGACAAGACGGCATGCAAAACCTTTTAAAATGCGCGTTTTGTGAATGGAGATTGGATCGATCAGGCTAAACTAACGTTGTAGCTGCTCCGTCCACATTCACAACAACGTCCTAAAGACAGAATTAAAGCAGCGACTGTATTCGTCATGACAGAGACAGTCTGTGGTTTGTACTTGTTTAACTTTTGTCTAGTTTCTGAACAGATATGAGGAGTTGTGAGGAGTTAATTAAAGAGACACACGCACACACACACTTTTGCATTTCAAAGTATTGCTTGTTCATACAGTTGGATGTTGGAGCTTCACTGTGCACTGCTGAATGATGTATGTGCAGAGTTTGACCCTTGAAGGCTGTTTCTTCTGCTCTGAAATGGAATATATTTGTTACATATTAATAGAATTTTTGATTTTTAGATTTCATTTCGGATTTGTGAATGGGAGAAGTAGTAGATGGAAAACATACCAAACACTAATTATTCAAAGTAAATTATTTCATTTTATATACGGTAATACTAAGGAGTCATAGGCCTATATGATGATACGATTATTGATCTTAAAAAAGTGATTTGTTTTTTGTCATTAGAAAGTGAAGTTATTTATTTGTAAGCTCCAAATCCAAAAATTTTCCTCAATGGCCTTTGTGCCCTGGCATGTGGCCTTTGCGCGCTGAAAAAATGTGTGACACCAAAGGCCAAATGGCCTTGCCCCTAAAAAGACGAAAATCCAAGCCTGGCACTCAGCGGTGAAATGTAACAAAGTACATTTACTCAAGTACTCATGTAATTAATTGAAGTACTTGTAACAAATAAAATGACTTATAAATATATTATATATTAGTAAAGCTACCCAGTAGTTTATAAGGTGATTCAAATAAACCACAAGTGCAACATTCAAGTGATGAACAGATATTACAGTACAGCAGTGTTGGGCAAGTTACTTTTAAAAAGTAACTAGTAATAGTTATAGTTACTGCTCTCCAAAAGTAACTAGTTACTTTTTTAATTACTAAATTATAAAAGTAACTAGTAACAAGTTACTTTACTTTAAAAATAATAACAATAAAAATACAAGTTGTTGTGTTGTTTTTTGCTGACTAGTTCTCTGAAGGCAACAGACTCGACCGTTGCGATGGGCAGCATGTCCTCAACAACATACCTGGCAATCTGTTTAGTTGACTCTGGGTGACATGTGGCGATTTGAAAAAATCGTTTTTTGGCTGTTTAGATGGTGTTGCTCCATCTGGGTCACTGCCGGTGGTTGAGACGGTGGGGTCTTTGGCGACTAGTTTTATAGCCCCATGTACATTAGTTAGGTGCTTCAGGAGATTGGCATTGCTGTTATTCGATGTGGACAATGCTTTCTGTCCTGCACACAGTTTACATTTGACCGTAATATTTTGTACGTCCTTTATCCCCATAAATTGAAAATAGTGGTTATATCTCCAAGTTGTAAATGCGCTGCTGCTCTCTCGCTGATACTTGCATCTGCCATTGAGAAAGTGAGGTTTAGCTATAACTAAAATGAAACTTGACTTAACTTTGACTATAGAATTGATGATTTGGATTGAAATGTCCTAATTCTTATTTTCAATGTGATAGTGATAAGTGTGCTTATAACTTTTAGTCAACAACCTGTCAAAACTTTGTGATAACAATAAGGTCATGTTTCATATATAAGTGGAAAAGTATCTAATTTGTGTAAAACCCTTTAAAGTAGCTATAATCCCATAAACATATTGGATCAAATGACTTTGTGTAATTCTCATGAATCTACAGAGAAATATCGATAACTTTGAGTTTTTCTCCTCAGCAGAAAAAAGCCTCACAAGGCAAGGCAAGTTTATTTATATAGCACTTTCCAACACAACGCAATTCAAAGTGCTTTACAAAAAATGGCATTTAAAATCAGTCATTAAAAAGAAAAGCTAATAAAATAAACATTAAAATAAAAAGTACATGGATAAAAGTTACAGTGCAGTTTAAGATATGAATAGTTCAATTAAAAGCAGCGACAAAAAGAAAAGTCTTCAGCCTGGATTTAAAAGTAGTCAGAGTTGCAGCGGACCTGCAGGTTTCTGGGAGTTTGTTCCAGATATTTGGAGCATAATAACTGAACGCTGCTTCTCCATGTTTAGTTCTGACTCTGGGGACAGTAAGCTGACCAGTCCCTGAAGACCTGAGAGATCTGGGTGGTTCATAATTTAGCAGGAGGTCAGAAATGTATTTTGGGCCTAAACCATTCAGTGCTTTATAAACCAGCAGCAGTATTTTGAAATCTATTCTTTGACACACAGGAAGCCAGTGTAAAGACTTCAGAACAGGAGTCATGTGATCCACAAGAGTCTTGAATGAGATTTTGAAGATTGGTTTTGATGTGTTTTACTGGATTCAAACACAATAACTTCAGATATACCTTTTAAGGTAATAAGATTGTCTAGGCTAAATTTGAGGATTGTCCTTTAATAGTTGGTCAAACTGCATACCTGCACTAAGCAGGTTTCCGTCGTTTTACCCCAAAATTAAACAGATAATGTTGTCAAAGTATATTTTGAACCTTTAGTGGAAAACCATGTATCAGGATGACAATTGATGATCTCTACTTTTTCTGTATTCATGGGAAAAAGTCAAAGTAAACCCAATGAACTGTGTTGTGAGAATCAATTGCTTTCTTCTGTCCCACATTAGAAATGTCCCTTCAATTATTTGGAAACTGTCCAGGCATGCAACCAGTTAAAAGAGGAAGTTAAGGGCTAGCAACATTTGTATTGTTTGAGACTGGCAAGCTGAACACATTTTTTACATTATGGATAGGCTGCTTTTCGACTTTCAACAAGTCTTGAGATATCTTCAAATATGTTGTCAATGACTTTAAGACCCGATGCATGGTCAGACTTTAACAAAAACAACAGTTTCCAACTTTATGTCTAGTATGATTTGTACCTTGACCAGATAAGGATAGATGAGATCATATTGGAGTACTTATTATTCTCTGGCAAAGAACCACTTGAAGTGGCAGGAGAAAAAAACAAAACAATGTATGCAACTTAGTTTACGTTATTAGAATGTATTGTTAACAACATGATCAATACATCATTGCCTGCATGCTTCATTCAGACAGTTGACAAACATTTGCATTTATATATTCACTGTCAAACATAACAAGTAGCAAAGATAAAGCATGATGTATTTGATTGAAGAACAGGAGTTACATAAAAGGATTAAAATTAGATAATTTGTTTGAAGGTTAAGTATTTGTGAATAATGTCACAAGATATCTGTCATGTCATTAAATATGAAAAGACCATGCTAATTAGACTTGTCAATATTTAATGTCCAATATTTCTCCCCTTCATTTACGCTGAGGGGATGTAGAAGTGATAATCACATGGGAATTTAAATGTTTTCAGCAAAACCTTGAGATCATCCCTGACACTTTTCTCTGCCATGCTCCTGTTTGCAGGTGTGCACAGCTCAGATGTTGGTCGTGCTTGCTCCTTAACTCCTGTATCATTTTTAAACAAGTCGCTCACACTTTCAACCTCAGCACAGTTGCCATAGGGAAACCTCTTCGTGTCGTGTCCTCCCAAACCAAACAACTCCACACATGATTTGCAAGGATCCATTGGTGCTCCTCCCCCGTGGAGGCTAAACGCCTGGCACGTTACAGGCTGAGGCAGTTTGATGGTTCCATCAAAATATGGCTTCTTGCTCATATTTTGATTGAATGTCATCACTGCACCAGCAACATAACTGTCCCAGCTACCAGGAAGACAAGACGCAGCAATCATGATTTTCCTAGAAACCTTGCTAGAAGTGGACATGGAGACCCCGTAGTACCTGGCTGAGCTTGGGTTCTTCTGAGAGATGCAGATGGTGGAGGAGACCAGAGGAGCCCCCTTATCAAGGCCAAGTTCTCTGATGATCTCTTGAAGCTTCTGTTTTATTTCATTTTCGTTCTCTCGTCCTTTCAGGAAAACAATCTGAAAATAATTTAGAAATGTTATCAAGCTGGTAATTAACTATGTCATACTTCATGTTTGAATATGTGCATACAACTCTTATATTTCAGGATGATTTAAGGGGGGAAAGCAACTATATAAATAGAAGAATTGACAAACTAATCTTACCATGTCTAGCACACATGAGAATGGACTCCTCCTGGGTAGTTGAGAGGAATACAGTTCAAAAGGCAGAGGGTAGGTGTTCTTCAACTCATTGTACATCTCGTCATCATTCACAATATCTTCCGGTGAAATTGGTGGTAAACTGATCCTTCCCAAAAAAAAAATGCTGTGAAGAATCTGTCAAAAAAGAGATGTGTAACTGTAAATCTCTATGAAGGATGCATTATGCCCAAAAAACACATAATTTCAAAAGTTCATAAAAGCCACATCATACATACCTCATCTACTAACTGTATAGTTCGATTTGCACAGGAGCCATTCAGCTCCATCATTTTGTCGATAATCAGAAAAGCATTTGTTCTGAAAGGCGTTGTCCTCTCCTCAAATTCTTCTTCTCTATAATAATATATAGACAGTGTTAAGTTGTTTTTGGTCATTTTAAATGACAAGTCAGTATTAGTGTAAAGTTCAGGTAATCAGCTGACTCACCTCTGCTCTTCAGCATTAGCAGCCTAGTGAGAAATAATATACACGACACATTAAACCATGATTATAACACATTTCACTGACAACAGAAAGTAAATTAGCAATGTAGAATTTATTCAGAAATACTTCAAATATTAGCAAAGGAAAGCACTTAAAAGCACCATTGTAGGTCAGGAGTGAATGAATGGAAATAAATGAATTTAGTGATAAGTGTGCTGATAACTTTTAGTCAATAACCAAAAACGATTTAGTCAAAACGTTGTGATAACAATAAGGTCATGTTTCATATAAAGTGGAAAAGCATCTAATTTGTGTAAAAAACCTTTAAAGTATAATTCCATAAACATATTGGATCAAATGACTTTGTGTAATGCTCATGAATCTACAGAGAAATATTGATAACTTTGAGTTGTTCTCCTCAGCAGAAAAAAAGCCTCACAAGAGTTTTGAATGAGATTTTCAAGATTGGTTTTGATGTGTTTCTCTGGATTCAAACACAATAACTTCAGATATACCTTTTAAGGTAATAAGATTGTCTAGGCTAAATCAGAGGACTGTCCTTAGTTGGTCAAACTGCATACTTGCACTAAGCAGGTTTCCGTCGTTTTACCCCAAAATCAATCAGATATTGTTGTCAAAGTATATTTGTAACCTTTAATGGAGAAACATGTATCAGGATGACAATTGATGGTCTTTACTTTTTAACTGTGTTAGATTAGCTTTCTTCTGTCCCACATTAGAAATGTCCCTTCAATTATTTGGAAACTGTCCAGGCATGCAACCAGTTAAAAGAGGAAGTTTGGGGCTAGCAACATTTTTGTTGTTTAAGACTGGCAAGCTAAACACATTTTAAACATTATGGAAAGGCTACTTTTCAACCTCACCTGAGAATCTCAAGTCTTGAGATATCTTTAAAGTTTAGGTTATGACTTCAAGAGCCAATGCATGGTCAGTTTTAAAAAGAAAAAAAACAGTGTGTTTAAAATGATTTTGGCTTTGACCATGATTGATAGTAGAGATGATATCGGAGTACTAATTATTCTCTGGCAAATAATCACTTGAAATGGAAAAATAAAGTGAGAAATAACACACGACACATTAAACCATGATTATAACACTTACACTAAGTTACAACTGAAAGTAAATTATCAATGTAGTGCCGAGAGACGGGAGTCGGAGTCAATCACCACAATGTATAATTCATTCAGAAATACTTCAAATATTAGCAAAGGAAAGCAGTTAAAAGCAGCTACTTACCATTGTAGGTCAGGAGGAAATGAACGGAAATAAATGAATCGTGTTTTGAACTACCACTACACGCCTTAAACGGTTGCATTATGTGAAGGCGGAGCAAGGCAAGTATGAGATTAGTTTTGTGTCATAAAGATAAAGGACGAAGGTACGTTTTAACCGTTTGTTTTTTTAGTTCTAATTGAAACAAAAACAAAACCAGAAACGGGTCGTTTTTTTGTTTTTGCAATTTTGCCCCAAAACGGGAAAACGGCAATTCAGCTCGTTTTTTCGTTTTCTGTTCTTACTGTTAAAACAAATATACCACTAAATGTTTTGTTTCTATAGGTGGGTGTGTCTCCAGTGCCTCTTTGCTTCTGATTGGCTAGTTTGCCCTATGATTGCGCTGTACTTTTCAAAATAAAGGTTCAAAGCCTACTCTTTGCTAGACAGTGCAGTGCTTGCACAACATTGAATATATGGCTACATGCAAAACATGCAGAAGACAGTCTGTCCGTGTGTGGGTGCGTATGTGTGTGCGCGTCTGTTGATCTGTTGATCTGTCTGTCTCGCGATCTATCTGTCTGGCTATCTGTCTTGCACTGTCAGCCATGAATCCCTATCTTATAAAGTATGCGTATATCTCTGTTTGATGTTACTGACACTGCTGAATTGATGCGGCCGTATTTCCCGTTTGCGTGGTCAAGTCAGCATCGAGGGTTTTTTCTTCAAAACTATATTAAAATAGCTTTGAGGTTGAGGATTGATAAATACTATTTAGAGTACTTTTACTGCGTACTCTGTCAAACTCCCCTCTTGAGTACAATAATGCATGTTTTCTGCTATCTTTGATGAGAGATAAAATGATGTTCTGCCATACATTCTTAATGAGAGTGATGTTTGACTCAGTATACTTATTTAACTACACCAACAAGTACTTTGGTCACCCTTGAAAAATAGATCTTTTGATCTCAAGGGGCTTTCACCTGGTTAAATAAAGGCTACAAACAAACAAACAAACTTTTTCAGGTATTCTTTTTCAAATTCCCCTCCTTAGTACAAGAATGCATCTTAAATAAAAATGTGTCATTAGACTTATATTGTTGGACAGAGTATTTTAAGAGGATATGGTAGACATGATATCAGCACTACTTCCAGTCAGTACTCCAGCAGCAGCTTTTACCCCTTGGGAAATCTTCAGAGAATATCCTGGATAGCTGGTATATCCTTCAGCAAAGTGACACACCCTGTCACTCTTGTTGGCCTCTTATGATGATCAGGCCCGCCTTAACCTGCCATCAGGCCCTGGGGCTGATGGTTTTGTAGGCCCCCTATTTAAACAACAAATCAAAGTCATTTATAGCCTCGGCAGGCTCTGTGGTCGCACTTCTCCACTCTGCTCTACGCCCGCCTGGTCCTCTCCTCCAGATGAGTGATGTATCGGGCCTCCCTCATGTATTTGTCCGGTTGCCGTTGGCTCCCCTCCACGTAGCAAGTCCTCGTCGTCCTCTCCATCTCCTCCAACATCCCTCCTGTCTGTTTTTCCTCTCCCGCTACTCCATCGCTATCAGAACCAGACGGCCTACTTGGCTCCGAAGCCCCGCGGCCGGCACCGCTACCGCTCGGTACAGAACTAATCTGTCCTTCCTCCTCATCCTGGCCTACAGGTTTAAAATAACCTGTAAACTTCGGCATTTTTTGTAAGAGCTGCTTGTCTCGAAACTACTTTTCCCTCAACAATTTCCTTTTCTGAGCGCCACTCTCAAACTTTTTCTCCTAAACAACCTTCATCTGTCACTCAATCACTCGCAATTTGAATAAGTCACATGTGAAACATATTCTCATTCTGATTGGCTGTTAAGTGGTGCCCACTGACTGTTTCGGAGTCATCATTTTTGAGAAAAATCTCTGGAATCCATCGATCTGATTGATTAGCGGAGCAAATGATCAAAATACTACGGAGGGAAGATATTTTCGTTTGGATTACTGGTCTGGGGGAAGCTCGCGTGTCTGTGTGTGTGTGTGTGTGTGTGTGTGTGTGTGTGTGTGTGTGTGTGTGTGTGTGTGTGTGTGTGTGTGTGTGTGTGTGTGTGTGTGTGTGTGTGTGTTTGTGTATTTTTGCGTTTGTGTGTATTGTGTTTGTTTCCCGGGGGAAACACTCACGAGAAACACCGGCTATTGTTATGCCTGCTGTGACGTCAAGTTACTCCGTTCTCCGCTTGTAATTATGCCGTTACAAGCTTCAAAGTTGTATTTATCATCTGAATTTGCCGAAACAAGTTTAATATTCTGAAAGCCAAGACTTTGTTTATTTGAAACCAGATGAAAACAAACTGTAACGGACCCTGCCGTGTTATCTATGATTACTAGGGGTGTAACGGTTCACAAACATTTCGGTTCGGTACGTACCTCGGTTTTTAGGTCACGGTTCGGTTCGGTACGTTTTCGGTACAGCAGAAAAAATTATCGCAAAACATAACATTTTTTTTTTTAAATTATTATTAAACTGTGAATAATGTATTCACTCAAATAAATACAAAATATAATAAAATAAACATTAAGGTGCAGCTTTTCGATGAACTGAAATAATCTGTATTTGAACTGTACTGTACTAGTACCTAAGCAGCCAGTTTGACATTAGGACTTGCTTGTCATTGTATTGTCATGTTTTTTTAAAGAAAAATTAACTTGTCCACATTGCTTGCCGAAAGGGCAGATCTGCTGGCACTAACAATGTCTCCTGCTGTGGAGAACACCCTCTCGCTAGGGACAGAGGTAGTAGCAGATACAGCCAGGTAGCGCTTTGCTAACACGGCAACATAAGGATATTTGGCGTTTGTAATAGCTTTGGCTTGGTCTGAACTTTTTGCGAGTGGTGGAGGCTTAAATGCTAGTGGGAGTTGGGTTTGCACTTTTTGGTACCGGTGATATTCACGTTCGGGTGATGCCTTTTCAAATGAGTGTGCAAGTTTGATGTATTGCCAGCCGCGTAACCAATTTTAGTTGAACAATGCCGACAAACAGTTTTGGTTCGGTCCACCTGTCTTTGTCCGTCATCCTTGTACGTAACTGCGAAACCAAAATGTTCCCAAACCGGAGACTTCAATGATGCTGGAGGATTTTCGAGCTCAACTTTATCTGCGTTCGCCATTTCGACAGTTCCTCAAATTATTGACTACATTTGAACGCGTCCCTCTGACCAGCTCTCATAGTATGCCTCTCATCCAATTAAATGACTTGCTCGCTCTATGACGCGTTGAACCCAATGTGAGCAAATTACTCTGAATGCTGCGACGCAGTACCTGAGATTACTTCCAAGAAGTTGTTCACGTTCTCAATTTTTTACGTTTAACGTTATATTCGTTCGGTACACTTCGGTACACACGTGTACCGAACCGAAGGGCCCGTACCGAATAATTTCGGTACGGGTACGTGTACCGTTACACCCCTAATGATTACTATACGCCTTACATTCATAATTTCAGCCGGAGGGAGGGGGAGTGAGTGGCGAGTGAGAGCTGTCATCTTCCCTTTACAAGCTTCAAAAATGTATTTATCGTGTGATTTTGGAAATAAAAGTTTCATATTCTGAAAGCCAAGACTTTGTTTATTTAAATGTTTTTAAAAACATCCGAAATAAAAAACCTTTTTTAAAAAAAAACTTTTTTATTGGCTCATGATGATCTCCGTAGGCCCCTGGGCTTCAGCCCAGGTCAGCCCGTGCATTAAGGCGGCCCTGATGATGATGCTGTCTTAACCTTTAACAGCCAGCGCCACCATTTTGTAGAGCACATTT